AAGAAAGAGCGCTTTCAAAGAAGAGAGGATTTTTAAATTTTCAAACTGGACCCCTGGAGCTACTTGACCTGTCTCCTTTTCACAAACTATGGCTGAGTTTAAAAAACTGCTCCATTTTCGGTGTGAAGTAAAGCTAGGCTAGTCAGCATTTTCAAGGTTGATTTTTAAGACTTCGGTCACGAACTTAAGCCGTTTATGTAGTGACGACTCTGATTTTTCATAAAAATCAGAGGTTATGCACCAGTTTTTCTGTCGTTCAAGCGGGCCACCACCGTGCCCAAAAAATCGATCGACGAGGAAAATATCGATCGCATTCCAATCACTCTCACATTTCACCCTCGCAACTACGTAGTTAAATCTATCGTTATTAAGAACCGAGAACACTTTCGCGTCTTATAGAGAAATGACAAGGACGCATCCAAACCAGTCGCTAGACACTTTAATCTTCCTAATCATTCTAAACAGCATTTGGCAGTTGGCGGCCTTTCCCTGAATCAAGGCAATTCGGAAAGCCGCAAAACTCTAGATCAAAAATTCATTCAACTAATTTATACTTGTTGTCTCCTCACCATATTCCCACCAATAGCGTAGCTCCATACACACAATTTTCAATTCGCTCTGACGAAAGGCTAGCTGGCGCTCAAAATGTCAGCTTTGAAACTCTTAACGGTGCCCAATTTAAGCTATCGACTCAGTTGATAATACTAAACTGCCCTCTTATACTCTCCCACTGACGCAGAACCACAGTTTCTTAAGAAACTTACCCCATTTTTTCAGATAAATACTTATCAATTGATGAGGTGTCGTAGACTCTTCTTTTAAACGAGACATGAATGATCTCACGTTGCCCTTTCACGATTACACTTATAACTTCGTTTATCTTCTACCCACGACATCTTTTCTGCTCGACTACTCACTGGTGGGAGCTTCAATACTGTGCGACTCCCTTTCATTCCTTTCACTCGAAAACTAGATAGTTTTCAATCCAAGTCAGATTTGGCGAAGTAAGACACGTAATAAAGAATTAGGGGACTGAGAAGTACCAGCTGGAACAATTCTTCAAGAGAGGAAAATGCTGGTGGATTTCACGTGAGGAGATTCTATGGGTCTACTAATCAGTTCACACGAGAAAAGTCCAACAAAGTCAAATGATTCACATCGCCTAACAATCGTTTTTTCAATTCTCTTAAAATAACACACCATTTCCGCACTTCAATAAGATTACAGGTTATGTGAATGTGATTTATGAATTTATGAAAAAAACGGCCATATTACGAGCGACATGAATTCGTCACAAACTTTTCATTTATTGCACCGATAAACTCGTAGAAAACCGAAACATTTTAAGTTATCTTATAAAAGTAATAACCCGCGTTCCTTAAATTAGTTTACCGGCGTATTGACCCACTTGGAATGCAGAAAGGCTATTAAATTGGCTAGGTTTCCTAGGCTTTTGAAAAATTAGATGAAATCTTTCTTTGATTCATGTGTGATCTCAATATTTACTATGCTGACGATTTCGCACAGTCCAATTACCAAATACAATACAAAACGAGAGAGAGTTTCTCACAATATGGGTTTAACGTTCCAGATTACGTCAAAGTGCAAAGATCACTTTGCCACGTTAACTTACAAAAATGCAAAAAACAGGTATTATTGTCCAGAATAAGCCAATAACCTTTCTTCACGGTAAACTAAGGAATACAGTTATTGACCCAAGGACATTATTTCACTTTACTTCTCGGCAAAGCAAACATCGTCCGTCACTTCTGACACAATCTGTCACCAAAACTCGACAAACTTTTGGTAAGAGATTTGAAGAACGTTAACGTTGTTTTAACATTGAACACATTCACCTCATTTCTTTTTACCTGTGCGTAAAATCATAAGTGGTTAAAAATGATGTGAAATATACAAAACATTTTTAACTGGTCAGTGTTACCAAAAGAATTGAATGGGAGATGTGTAATAATATCTTCAGAAAAAAGTTTTTAAATTTGACTTTTCAAAAATAGAAAGAACATTAAAACAGAAAAAAAAAAACTTCAAGAATGTTTTACGGATATACTCTGAAATCAGTTAACCAGTTACCGTTGTCATTCGGTGAGAGCGCGGATACCTTTGGTTCTGT